GCAGTTGTCGGTTGATTGGTCAAACCACCAACACTGACATAAAAACTTGGCAAGTTGACTTGGGTGTCACACCAATAGGTGGTTCCACTTATGTTTCGCTTGCGATTACGCAGCTATTTTTATCAAGTACTTTCTTGCTAACACATCCACTTGTTGAAGATGAATATATTAAAGAACTAAAAGGTATTCTCCTTGAAAATTCATATCCTAGCAAACTTTTGAGCAAACTACTTTTCAGCTCCTTTTCCGCAGTCATGAATACTGTTCCAAACAATTTAAATATTTCCATAAATAATAATAATCAAAATGATAATTTAAATATTCCAAATAGTGGAGAGATACCTCCAAATTTATTATTTTTTAAAACATAACCATATTTTCAGTCTTTAACACCTAAACTCCTGAACGTTTTCAATAGTGAACATATTAAATTTGCTCAATACATCGTGACTACTACGAATAGTCTTTTTTCCAAAATCAAAACTCCTTTGAAAACTTTATAAAAGTCAAATGTAGTATGTGAAATTCCTTGTCATACATGCGACAAGACATATGTTGGTCAAGAATTTTATCTGGACGCATAACGTCACATAAAAGTGATTGTAATACAAACAAAACCACCTGTGCACTTGCAGAGTAAACTCCACCGAAGTTAGAGTTTTGTGTACTGAAAGCAATTTACAAAAAGGGTTGTTCTTTATCAAAAGGAATACCACTAACATGAACAAAAAGACTGAGCTCAACAACCTCAGCAACTTTTATAATTACATCTTAAAATTGGAACTTTGTTCCAATTTTAAGATGTAATGTTGCTTGGGGCACCTGTTGCTCCAAGCAACAGATAGTGTTTGTTTTTGGGCGCAGTGCTGAGTCTGTCAAAACAACCAGTCACTTCATTTGGGAGTGTTTGGGAGCACTGTAGCCATAGTCAGATACTTTTGAATTTGCTAGTGTCAACCATGGTGTTGGTGTGCCTTTTGGTAATCCTGTCTTGTTTTTTACTGTCAAATTTTCAAACTTCAAATGTTTATATCCTGTTTCCTCTCTCTTTATGGTTGCTACCACGCCACTAGTAAGTGCCAAGCATGGCCAGTGAAATAATTTTAAAATTTCAAAATCTTTTAAATGTTTGAATTAAATAAGTTTATTGTACTTTTTCTCTGAAACTGAAAAATTTTAATGTGTGACACTTTTCTACATAATGAAAAGTATTAACTTTGTTTTTCTCATTGCAACATCTGACTTTTTACTATAACCTCAAGTTAGTAAGTACATTTTTTACCTATTTGTTTTACAATTTTGCTGCAATGTTCTCAATTTCTTGTAGATGTCTTGATAAAGGGAATAAACATTCTCGAAAGCTCGACCATATAACAAAGAGTATGCTTTAAACAACAGCCCAGTACTTTGACTGCATCCCCAACAATATTGAGTGTGTATGATATAAATCAAAAGGGAAAATTTGTGGACAGAACACTCAAAAAATGGCAAACCGCGGACACGTGCAATTGGCTGCACCGCGTTGATGAGGCCAATAGCCAGACACACGTGTCCGCGGTTTGCCCCTTTTTTGAGTGTTCTGTCCACAAAACTCTGGGCTTCCTGGAATTCACCTTTTTGCTTTAGGTCTTAGACAATTTCATGTTCATTTATCTTTCTCGAATTCCTGAGTGATGGCACTAACGGATGATTTTGATAGCTATACAATAATCACATAAAATTCAGTAGAATTCACCTTAAACCCAAGATAGAATACTAGTTGATTGATGCAATCACTTAAAGCAATTGTAATCCCGCCTCTTTTTTTTGTTTAACGAGGCCGAACGAATACTCGTATAACAAATGTTTAATTTTCTGAAGTGGACCAAGAGAGAATGAGACTTACGGAATACAAGTATTAAGTAAATTTCTAGACAGTGAATGTAGTATTCCACATAGGTTTTGTTTCATAATTGGTGTTTGTGTTATGATATACATGCAAGCGAAGTTAGAGAACAAACTAGGTTACGATTTTCTGACATATAACTTTGTATCCGCAAAGGTATTATCTCCCGTTGCCCAACTTTCTTGGTAAACCATGTGTGAATATGAGAAAGTTGTCATGTATTCGTATGTTGAAATTAGCGATTCGACGATTTTATGAGAAATACAGAATGACTTGATATCTGATAAACAAGATAACACGGAAATTAGCTGCAGCAACTCCGCGGACGTAAATAGTCTCCCATTTACGGACAAAATTTACTTAAAACAGAGATACCTACAATAGTGTTGCATAACTATCGCCGAAAGGACGCCACCAACATTCATTTCAAATGGGCAGGGGTTTTATGAAAGCTCGTTTTCATTTTCGGAAATCGGACGAATCGTTTCTAAGTGATTTTCAGTTCATTATTCGTTTCGAAAATCTGCAAACAAACAATAATCATCATAATTTCACAAAAAAAATCTAAACGCACTCAGTTCATTCCGATGTTTGAAATCTTCACCATTTACATTTACGAAATTAAAATTAAGGACTGCGATGCAAAATATTATGGACAGACGAAAAGATCTATAAAAATGAGATATAAGGAACACTTAGCACACCTAAAATATGGAAGACCAGAAAAATCAGCAGTCGCTTAACATATTTTGCAACAAAATCGTTCCATAGACTTCAGTTCATCAATATTAGTTAGACAAGTTAACAACAGCAGGCATCTAGATGCCTATGAGAGTGTAAAAATAGGTAAACATAATAATATTATGAAAAACGGTGGTGGAACAATACCTAATAGTATCGTAACAGTAAATAATTATCAGATTTGCCTGACTATTACATAAGGACACATTGTAAAATTAATTTAAAACTAGTAAATAAGGCAATATTGTGAAATTGATTTAAAATATTTGAAACGTAGGTAATTAGAAGAGGTATCTATGATATGAATAAGGTTAACATCGTACGTATTTTTAGTTTAATTTTCCTCTTGAAGATGATCACCTAGTGCTCAAAACACGTGTCGAGGTGTTAAAAGAACGGTTTGGTGTTCGTATAAAACTCAAGTAATATTTATTTTAGAAGATGTTCAGCCCATCGCATAATTTTTGTCTTCATTTCTGCTTCAAGTATGGAATTCACAATCAACAATATTTGTTACAGATGTTATAACAGACATGAACGCTACATCACCAAAATCATCTCTGGCCAAACTAGGACTATACCCACGACCAAAAACTCTTAAAGTTATGATCCTAGGTCAAGGAGGAGTTGGAAAATCAGGTGAGTTAGAAATACCAAGTGTGTTTCACATGATTGAAATGATTTTTTGGTATTATTATACAGTAGCCAAATTTTAAAAAACCTTTTATATGTACTTTCACCGACCTAATTATAGGTATTTCTGCTTAAATTTGAAATATTGTTATTCGTTGGCAAACCACAGAAAGAACCAGTTTTCAAATTGAAATGTAGAAATGGAATCTGTAATGTGGAATAAGTTCAACACAGTTCATGAATATTATACAGACTTCAAATGATGTTTCAATGTCTATTTGATGAGGTCTCTAAATAATGCAGTTACTTCTAATCAGCTCCTTAAAAGCATCGTGTATCACAATGTTTATTTTCGTGAAATACTTCCAAACTTCCACGTCAGAAAGTTTGTAAGTTTAATAGCTGACAAACCTCAAGTTCATCACAGAAACCGACGTCCCATTTTTCACCTGAATTAAAATATTCCCCTATTTTCTGCCCACGCACACATCAAAAACTTTAGTGATTTTGTTTAACTTGTTATGCCCGACGAAATTAAAAACTCAACTGATTCTGGGTGGAGAAACCTTCAGAGAAGTTTCAAAGTCATATTTATTCATCGAAAGTTAGGGAAAGTTCTGCGATTTCGGGAACCACAAATCAAATATCGGTATACGCCATATTTTGTTGACATCTTTTTGTGGGATATGACATCCACATCAAAGGATCTGTAATGTTTATGGAATTTTGACATTTTAGATGCTGCTCTAAGAGACGGCTTTAGCCCATGAAGCCTCCGTATGCAATCAATACCCTGGCTCCCTCTTGTATAAAAATTTATATCAACGATTTATTAGAAAAAAACAAAAATTCAATATACAGGGTGTAACTGAATAAGTGTAAAACATTTAAGAAGGTGGTTCCTCATCGAAAAAAAGGTAGGATCTTTCATATAACGAAATTTCATTGGAGCATCCCTTGTTAAGATACAGCCCCTTAAAGGGGGTACATGAAATGTGTATAACAATTTTTTTCACAAGCACTAAAAAAAGTTACAATATTGAAATTAACCTGACGTTTTGTAATACCAAAAAGACACTTATCCGGAAATTTACTTGGTTTACCCCACGGTTGTAAGGGGTGGAAAACGCAACCCCTAAAATTTTTTTCCAAAGTAATTTTTTGTCTCATGATTTGTTTACCATTCAAAAATGTATTTCCGATAGCCTGTTTTATTTTGAACAAAAAATTTCTCTTGGGTTTTTTGCCCAAAATAAACCAGTTCGCAGAAAAAATTATTTTACGAACAACTACAGAGATACATCGTCATAAATGCAAAAATACGACACTAATCTATCTAGTAGGTCGCTATTAGCGATAGTGACATTTAAATTGGTATGATGCTGTCAGTTTGTGAATTTTCGAAATTAAATTAATACTAAATGTGTTTTGTTGTTCTGTTCTTAATTCGTTACTTTGATAATTCACTTGTTATTAAAATGGCATACACAAATGAGGAAATGGCTGATATGCATTACGGTTTCGGTCTGTCGCAGGGGAATGGGTTAGAAGCTTCTAGAAGATATGCTGAAATGCATCCTCACAGGCAGCATCCTTCACATAGAATATTTGCTCGACTTCATCAACGATGTGGTGCATTCCACAAAAGAACACAGGATTGTGGTCGCCATCGAGAAGTACGAACACCACAGCTTGAGGAAGCAGTACTTAATTTGATTGAACAACCTACTACCAGTACTAGAAAGATTGCTTTCCAGCTAAATGTTGATTATATGACGATATTTCGAATTATGAAGGAACAACTATTATACCCTTACCATCTGCAACGAGTACAGGCACTGTTACCGCGAGACTTTCCGAACCGTCTTGAATTTTACAATTGGATGCTGGAAATGATTAGAAGAAATTGTGACTTTCTGAAGACGATATAATTCACAGACGAATGTAGTTTTTTTCGGGACGAGATTATTAATTTTCATAATTATCACATATGGGCTGATGAAAACCCTCACGCTATTGTCGAAACTAACCATCAAGAACAGTTTTCTCTTAACGTGTGGCTCGGAGTTATTGGAGATGATTTAATTGTGCCTCATTTTCTACCTCCTCGATTAAATGGTGAGGCATTCGTTCAATTTTTAAGAGAAGTACATCCAGTACTGCTGGAGGAAGTTCCTTTGGACGTCAGAAAGGAAATGTTTTTTATGCATGATGGGGATCCCGCCCATTTTAGTCAAGTAGCACGTCAGCATTCAACTGAAACATATGCAAATCAGTGAATAGGTCGAGGAGGACCACAGAACTGGCCCGCTCGATTCCCGGATCTCAATCCTCTCGATTTCCCTATTTGGGGCCATTTACAGCATTTGGTTTATCGTACTCCTGTTCGCGATGTAGAGGACTCAAGAAACCGCATCATCGATGCGGGTAATCAGAGAGACTCCAGGAATATTTGAGCGAATACGTGGCTTAATGCGCAAACGTCTAGACGCATGCGTAATGTCTGAAGTTAGACATTGGTGGAAGGTGAACATTTACTATGATTTCTACATGTTGTGTGTTTTGTTATTAATGAATTAGTTTTGTTTATTACCCTTTAATCGTTTAATGCAGGTACTAACTACAAAATAACAATAAATCCAGTTCGCATTCATGAAGATGTATCTCTGTAGTTGTTCGAAAAATCATTTTTTGTTGCGAACTGCAAACAGGCTATCGGAAAGAAATTTTTGAATAGTAAATAAATAATAAGACAAAAAGTTACATTGGAAACCAAAAAACTGTGTTATTGTCTAACAATATTAGGATTTGATTTTTTCTTAAAACAACTACTGTGCACGTGCAAATATAAATGGCACCGTTGCATGAACATTTAGCTTTCATTTTCTGTATAATATCTATGTATGTTGTGAATTTTGAAACCAGAAAAATGCATATTGTGCTCACTTGAACAATTTTATAATTGTACCCACCGAGGGGACATTTGAAGCACACGAAAGGGGCAATTGTAACATTATCTGAAATACCGTCATTATACATGACGATGCTGATGTTTTTATTAAAAATACCGATATTCAGCTTCAAATTATTTGTTATTCGCAAACAATTGAAACCTTTAATTACTATCATATTCATCATCATCACAATTACCACAAAAGAAAAAATCAGGTTGCAGCTTGTGTGCACAATTTTTATGTGGTCACTTTTTACATTTTTGACACTGGATCCACGTGGATGACGATGAGTCTTCGTACATTTTAAAGCATTGAGGACACATTGATTCTTCATCATCTGTGCTATTGCGGATTTTTATTTTGTTATTTGTCGTTCCTTTCGATTTTCATTTGATTCTTTGTTTTTATTTTTTTCACTACTTTTCCTTCTGAATCCATTTTAATTTTACAGCCTGCGCTTTTTGTTTTCTTAATGCTTCTTCTCCTAGCAATTGTTTCCCTGGGGTGTCTGTTAGAATTGCACTCTATTTTGTTCTTTGTTTGTAATTTTTTTCCTAGTTGGAAGTGGTCGAATAGTTTCTAAAACTTTAAAAGAATTATTGAGCTGGCTTTCTGGGGAAGAAGAATCAGGCTCAGAGCTAGGATCTGGAATAGAAATATTTCCAAGGGTCTCGTTTTGATTTGGTGTGTCATTGTTTTCTTGTGGCATCAGAAGTTTATTAGTAACAGAAGATAGCGTATATTCATCATCTCTGAAAATATCCTCATTGAACGGCCAATACCAGACACTTTAAAACCGGCTGCTAAATCAGTCGGGGTAGTTGCTTTGGGAAAGCTTCTGCGACAATCCCTGGTAGATCATAAATTGTCATTGTCTTACCGGGGTGACACTCCATCCAATTGTCCATAGTTATGTTCACATAGTGCCATACACCCCTCGATCTAAACGTTGCAATTTGTGGGAATAATGCGGCGGAAATGACAATAGAACCACCACATTTTCTCTGCACAATTCGATAGTTTTTATAAATACATGAGAGTCATGGTTGTCAAGTAGAAGTAACACTTTTTTTTCTTTGGTTGGCCTAACATGATCTATGAAATGTTTCATAAAGACTAAACATGTCTCCTCATTCATCCACCACAGCCCGTTGACGTCACCTATACATCCTGGTGGGCCATTATTTACAAAAAATTACTGAAATTTCTTGCGAGGAAAAATAAATAAAGTTGATACAGTGTTTCCCAATGCATCAACTGCAGTGCAGACAGTTACTAGTGTACCTCGTTCTCCAGATTTAACGGCACCGACCTGCTTCGTACCTTTCACTGCCATAATTTTCGAAGGCTTTTGCAGGATAGTAACACACGAATAGCAGTTATTTTTATAAATCCGTTGGATGGTCCTCTATTAGTTCTTCTAATTCTTTGACGAGTCATTGTAATCTAAAAATTAGAATTAACAGTATGTCACTTGGGGGTACATTTGTAACATGTTACAAATGTACCCACCGACCGTGTTACAATTGTACCGACTTCACATTACAGCAAACTATTCGCAATCGATAAAAAAGGACAACACATAACCTTAAATTGCTCTTAGACTATTATTCGTAAACAGATGAACTACCTGTGTTAACTTATTTACTTTAGGACGATTGCTAACACGTCAGTTGTACAAAAAATTAGAAAATACTTACATTTTACTTACAGATCGCAAAAACGCCCAAATTTCACTTACACGTTATCATTTCGACGTGTGCTTCTCAACTGTCGGTGAACTTTGTGCTACACAATTATTCAAATGATTAGTTGCCAAATCTATAGATCGAAGATAAAACGACATTATGGGCGGTGTTACGATTGTACCGCGTTACCAATACACCTCAGCAACTTTTGATACTTTATAAAGCTCAGAACGAACTCCGACCCTGAGTATAACCTGAAGCTGCTGGATTCCATCCAGAAAAGATCCATCTGCCTGACTGGAGACGCCAACATCACTTGCCACCTTGATAGTCTGAACACCGAAGGAAGGTTGGCGATTTGTCTCCCTTTTGTAGATACTTTCACGAGAAATGTTCAAGCGACTTGGCACATTTGATTCCACCAAGAGGTAGGTAGGTCTGAACAACCCACAAGGGTGGATTGTGGCTCACACCTATTCACATTCGGTCAAATAAATCCAGCTTCTTAACGAAGCCGATTAGTTTGCATGGTGAGTGGTCTTTCAGGTCAGATGGTGAGAGTACGGATTTGCCGAACTCAAAGAACTGATTCAGTCCCCAGCGGGGCAGGCACAAATTATATGCTCTGCTGTTTCATCACTTTCCAGACAGAGGCGACACACATTGTCTTCCGACAGTCCAAGTCTCTGCATATGAGGCCTTCTTACAGTGACCTGCAAGAAGGCCTCATAGACATCGCAGTTCATCCCTACTGTAGTCCAACAACTGTTTGGAATCAAGCTTCGAAGGGTGAATAAATGTCCTGGAGCCAATCCTGGATGATTCTTCCAGAAGTCCATACATCTTATTGCCATCCAGGTGTTCAGTATTTGTTTGGCAAAGCCCAAAGCGATGCCAATGACAGGTTCTGGTCCAATGAATCCGCTTGCAGCACCCTCCTTTGCAAGAGAGTCAGCAGCTTCATTGCCTTCCAGGCCAGTATGGCCAGAAATCCAGACCAGAGACAATCTTTCGAGTCTTCCTATCGGGGAAGTCGTTTTTGGCAGTTTGCTACCAATTCGGACGTTGCTCGGTAGGAGCCAAGAGCTTCCAACGCCGCTTGACTATCCGAGAATATTTTTATTGATTTGTGAGTGAGGTTGGATTTATCCAATATCTCCGCGCACAATTCAATAGCGTAAATTTCCGCTTGGAATACTGTCGCATAAGTACCTAGGCAGGTAAATAACTCTGTCCTAGGTCTGCGACTGAAAACACCTGCACCAGAACCGGAAGGTGTTCTTGATCCATCTGTGAACCAACAACTATCTGCTCTTAATATTTCCTTTTCCCGGAGGATCCAGTCCTCTCTACTCGGGAATAGTACTTTATAAGGCAATTCGTAGTTGACAGTCTGAGGCATAAAGTCAGAGGTCATTTCCAGAATGCTGTTACTTCCAATGTCAACCAACAGTGTGTTGCACTCTGCATTGAATCGATTTGTGCACTTGGCAATGTGCACAAGTCTGTATGCAGTCCATCTAGCTTCTCTTTCCAGAAATATGTGGAGAGGAGGTAGATCTAGAAGGATCTCAATGGCCGCTGATGGTGTGGTACTGATGGCACCACTGATAGCTAGACAAGCCTGTCTCTGTAAACCAGAGAGCTTCGCTTGGGCCGTTTTCTGTAAAGCCTTCGGTCACCAAGCAATTGCACCATGAGTGATCATTGGTCTGACAATCATCACATAAATCATCAAGAGAGTTACATACCAGAAATACGCGACGGACTATTTTTGCTCATCGTTTCGAGATTCAACTCAGTACGCCTCGAACTTCACTGTTCAAGAACTGTTTCATTTGAAGAACTGCGTTTATGTGGAATAAAATTCTTGAGAACGTATTTTCAAATATGTCATTAGTCGAATTCAAAACTTATTGCCGCCTTTCACATTGCCAAATACTATTTTCTCAGACAGATCCATAGACGACATATACTATGACGTCAACAATTTTCATTCTAACACATTCACCGATGGATCAACGATAATTAGTTTTTTTTTATAATTCTGTTGTCGACAGTATCACCACCACCACATCCAGAATAATAATGTGGTTTTTGTTCACATCAATTTATTTTAAACGTCAGTCACAGAACGCAAATTAATTTTCTTCTTATGACTCGCCTCTAAATTGTCCATGCAGGGTGTTAGAGCAAGAGTTGGTAACAAAGCATTATAAAAGACCTCGTTAATTGGTTCTCATCAAATAAACTGACACTCAATGAAATTCAGATGCACTAACTGTCATTGAATGACTGAAATGAATTGATGATTATCACTAACTTGTATATTCATGAAACAAATGTCGAAATAATAGAGAAAAATCTGTTTACTGTCAACCAGATGTCGCACTCCTACGAAAGACAACCCTCAGAAGTCGAAACTTGTGCGAGCTAAGGATTAACAAAGTCTTACCTTTCAACGTGTGATTCCTAACACGGGTTGGACGATAGCAAGTAAAATCGATCGTTCAGACTGGGGCTTGAACCACCGACCAACACGGTAGTCGATTCGAGTGAGTGAACAAAGCACACACGTCGAACCGCCCGGCTACCGACCATAAGCATTATACATATGAATTAATTGCATCGCCTTCAAAGTAGGCCCCTATCGAAGTAATACACTTAAGCCAATGATCAAAACACTAAAAAGCATTTTTAGAAATCGATTTCAGTACTCACTGTGAATCCTTTTTTTTCTCATCAATCAGCTGAAAACGGGTGCTTACTAGTGATAATTTGAGTTTTGGAACAACATAAAGTAGGCCGGAGCCATATCAGGTGAATACTGTGGCTATTCGATAAGATTTGTTGAGTTTTCGGCCAGAAATTTGCATAACGCTCAGATAATATTCTTTATTCACTTCTGGTAAGAATTCCAAGTGCACAATGTGGCGGATATCGCAAAAACTGTTAATATTATTTCACTCTTGATCGATTTTGACGAGTTTTTGTGGTTCGGCTCAGATGGAAGGCGTCATTTCGAAGCTTGTTGACTGATTAGTTCATAAAATTGGTAAACCCATGACACTTTGAAGGTTACAATATATTTCAATGTGGGGACGTAATTGACTAGTTTTAAAATGTCTTCAGCGACCTTTACGCAATTGATTTTCTGCCGAAAATTCAGTTCATGCCGTTTTATATCTAAAAAATCATTAAAAATGCTACAAACTGATTCGTGACACGTAGAAATTTGAGTGGCTGTCTCTCTTACACTTGAACGACAATTTCCAGTCACCATTTTCTTTACTTTAGCGATGTTGAGTTTAGTTGAGGATGTTGATGGCCGACCAGAGCGAGGCAAATCTTACACCACATCTTGACCGCTTTTGGAGGCACTGTACCACCCATAAGCACGTGTTTTTGATGAAGTCGATTCACTGTAAGTCTTATATAACATTTTCAGCGTTCTGGCCCACGAAATTCCATTTATAATAGGGAAGCCCAAGCGGGGATTTCGGGATTTACTAAAACGCGGCAAACTAATATACAGGGGGATACCTTGTAGCCGGTTGAGAACCTCCACCAAATATGTTCCCCATATATAAGGCCGCCTGTGAAGGATAAAAAGGAAAAAAAAATTGATCATCAGAAATTCTCGAGCGCGTCAGATTAAGGTAGGGTGAGTCAATTACATGCTAAAGAGTGAATATTCCAGTAATCTGACAATTTGAGAGTGGCGTGAAAAAAGGGGAGGGCAGCAAAGTTGTAAAAAATTAATGTCATTTCGACATTCTCGAGCGTAGCTGATTTTTTTTATTTTGAAGGAAATAATCCAAGGAAAACGAAAAATATATAATCTGACTATTTTCGCATGCAGCTGTGTGATACTTATATTCCCCTTCTCCAATTTTCTATTCGTCTTTCACTTTTTTTCTCTCTATAAGTCCGTCACTCCGTCCCAACTCTGAATTATATATCCATGACACCATCACAGCTGATCACAGGGACTCGTCTGTGATGAAGATGAAGATGATGATTGATTAATCAACTAATTATAAAAAAATTAATTTTTTTCAGCTTGTTTTTTAGTTATTTCCTTATAAATACAAGTATTCTACTTAAGAAACATACACTCATTCATTTGCATGCCATTTCCTGAGCTTTTCAATTATTTGAGTTCAATGATTTGAAACAAATTTAAAAAATAATATTTTTTTCGTCTGATTAGGCGAATCCCTCTAGGTAATCGTCAGATTATGAGACAGCACGTCTAGAACATGAAGATGAACGATATATATCTCAATTTGACGCGCTTGAGTATTTGAAAATGGTGAAATTTTTTTGCACATTATAATAATGGCCGCGAGTTTGCGTCATACCGAAATCGTCAGATTATTGAATAAGAGCTTTTTTTGTTGCACTTAACACTCCCTCAGAAAATCTGACGAGCTTGATTAAATTTTTTTTATTCACACTTTCAACCCTTACGTACAACCCGCATCATGCAAACGATCAGATTAACATGCGAACATTATTAAAAATAAGTAGGACATTGATGCTATCAATATCTGACGTGCTCGAGTATGTCCATGCAACAGTATTTTTTTACATATTTAAAAATCCTTAGCCGCTTTCCCCACCGATGAAAAGGTATATATTATATAACATTTTTGCATCCTATTATCTAAGCTTTGCAACCTAATATGTCTCTATGACGCTCGAATAAATCCCCATTTTGCATCGTGGGCCCCCCTACTATTACAATGCAAAATTTAAAACAAATTCTGTGTTTGATATATTAATCCATTATAAAAATTGCAAATCGCGTTTGGGGTTGATTATTCATGGTGATAATGAACAATTTTCATGGTGATTTATTCTTCACTATTTGCACATTGTACATTCGTCTATCCCAAATTGCATACCGATAGCATAAGTGTACTCTTCCACCACCCTCAAGGAATGATGGAGATTTTTTTTTCCCGAGGCATACAATTCAAAATCATCCATATAAAACAAATGGGTAACCAATATCAACATTATTATTATTATCACAAGTGCCCAGGACTTGAAACCATTTCAGCTGAATGCCCCGAACAGTCATTCCATAAATGCTCATCAACAGCTCTTAAATTTTTCAAAAAAGAGAAAAAATTGAACGTGTCAATTGATTGAATAACATCCTGATTCATTTATTAAGGCACGAGTATGTTTTAGTACTAATTGGGAGACCTTGAAAATCTTTATGAACTAGTTCCGTCTCTGAACACGTGTCTCCCTCATTGTTTCATACACACGTACTGTTCAATTCCCAGCTTTGACCTACAACTAATAGGTCTCAATATTGTTGACATACATGTAAATATTATTGTTACAGCTATGGTGGTGAGATTCATAACGAGGAGGTATATCGGTGAATACGATCCCACTTTAGAGAAAATCTACACCTTCCACACCCTCATCGATAATGAAATGGTCTACTTCGAAATATTGGACACTGCGGGACAGCCTCACGTGAGTATATTTCATATGATTATTTGATTAGCTCTAATTCAAAAAAATGACTTGGTTCCAAATCGAAACAAAATATCTATCAACAGTAACAAATCTAGATTAAGGGTCCTCCACCATTAAAACAAATGTTATCAACAGAACGTTTTTTCTCAATTTGTAGCGAACTGAATGCGAACTAAGTTGAACTATTCAATATTAAAATTGTTTAACTTGAGAAAAGCTCAGGTTATTATTTGAATTTTATGTGCATTAATATGCCATGTAAGGAAAGAGTATTCATTAATGAAATCTTTCATTGATTCTTTGATGAAAATTCAAGTTTGAGATAATGAAATTAATGCATGAATACTTTATTTTGAAGTGGAATTGACAGATGGAACTTTCAAGATGGCGACTGGGCGCCATCTGGGGAAAAATTAAGTGGAAAGGGGGATCTTGGGACACATCATTTTGAAGCTCCTGACGAATACTTCATAACCCTAGAATATGAAGTCAATATCTTCACCTACTCCAAAATGGTGGTACATTCAATTATTTCCTGAACACAAACACATTAATATCGATATTTCTAGAAATATTTCTTATAAATATTCTCATTAAGTTCTCGGTTTTACTAGTAGAAAGGTACCACGTCAACAATCTCTAAAATGGTCAATTCTCGTCCATTGGAAGAAAAAATTGAAGCGATTCCTATTTACGGTGCGACGCTAACTTTCACGAGATCAACAGGATTTTCAATGAACGCTTCCCGAATCGTCTCATCTGTAGAAAATATTTGAGGGAACTTGTATCCAAATTCACAACTACCGGTAGTGTACATAACAAAAAGCCTCCAGGTCATCCGTCCATTTCGGAAAAACAGTAAGTGCAAATTATTGGTGATACGGTAATAAATCCTGAACAGTCTACTTATCGCGAATGTTTGGGTGAGGTGTCTGCTCCTACTGTGTGGAGACTTTTGAAGAGGAATAAGTATCATCCATACAAAATTGAAATGGTACACCAATCAACTGAAGATGACCCTGATGGAAGAACGGAAACCATTATAAGGCATCCTACCTATCTCCACAATATTTATTTTAGTGACGATTGTACATTTTTTTAAACGGCAGTGTTCACAGACAAAATTGACACCAACCCTCACGTTTTCCGGGAAACACATACCCAGTATCCAGAAAAAAATTACGTTTGGGCAGCAATATTGGGAAACCATATTGTAGGACCTGTATTTATTGATCGAAATTTAACAGGGGAACTGTATGTGAATGTGCTGGAAACTATTGTTGACCCTCTCATCTCTGAAATCGTCGAAGCGAATCCTAATGAATTCGATATGGATATTGCAATGTGTTCCAATAAGATGGAGCACCACCACATTACTCCAGATAAGTAAGAAAATATTTGGATACTACTTTTCCCGGTCGTTGGATTGACCGTCGAGGTCCTACAGAATGGCCAGCCCGCTCGCCAGATTTCACACCTTCGGACTTTTTATGGGGCTATTTCAAGCAGAAGGTGTACGAAACTGAACCTGCTTCAATATTGGATATACGGCCCGTTGACCCGCTCAAAAAATAAAACAGGGGGGGGCATCAAAGAAATGCACTGTATATTATAGCTAACGTAATCCAATTGTTACTTTTGTAAGATCATACTAATATTGTGTATGTACATTATTAGGCTCGTTTCACATATTAAAAAAAATATTACGTTCTTGCTGGTTAAATTTTTATAATATTGTCAACAGTATATGTCTAAAGCACACTAAACACTGAGTGTCTGTTCGACGAGAGAGGAGCCTGCCTTCCGCTGAGGTATGCGTGAGGGAAAGGGAAGCCAGACAAACTGGCGCCGTTACGCGTTAGGTAACGAAGCGGTTTACCCTCCCATAATCCCATAAGAAGTTATCACTTCAAAAATAGGGAAACAAATGATACGATTGGAATAATCTCGTACAAAACTTGGGAACTATTCTTCCAATAATTTGGATGGGATGTCACGACAAACCTAAAAATACAGTTCCAGTTTTGAAATCCTTCAGACCAGAAAAAGTATTGAGAATTCATGTTAGCAACTGTGATAAATATTCTACTAGAGGCTCTCGAAATGAAATTCTCATTGAAAATATTAAATCAAAGTGTGTCGCTACCACAGTATCTGACTTATATTCCAGTCTGCACTAAAGCAGAATACTGATACAATCAAAATAGCCCAGTCAAATTATGATTTGACAACGCAAAAATTTTATTTAGCTATTTTCTTTCGGAATTCTTTGGAAGGGGGTCACTGACAGTTAAAATTTGAGCTCCGGGAGTACCAGACCCGGAGTACCAGTCCAATCATCCATCACCCATCTTCGGATGATGACTGGACTTGTTCCTCCAAGAGATGATTATTTATAGGTCTTTCAGGTGCTTTCACCTATTCCCTCTTCCTTCTTTCCGCTTCACCGGTTTAGCGGTGGCTGACCGTTTGGAGGGAGTTGACCATTTTCTGCCTTATTGGTTTCCATATGCTGCGTATTTCTACGCCAGCTTGGCAGAATGCGTTGTTGGACAACATATATGAGGCTTCCTTGAATTTCCCCCTAAACCAGTGTTATAGTCTAATCAACAAGTTCAAAAACATGAAAAATAGAGATAAAGATCCTAAAAATATGAGCGATAGCTCATTCGAATCGGAATCACCTCTAGAAAAGTGTTTTTGAAGGATTTCAGTGCAGGTAGAAAATTGCAATTGCTATTAACAGAATACGATTTTGAAAAAATGGTATTTAGATTTTCGTTAATAACTTAAAAAATAATAATATTTAAGTAATTTGAAAAAAAAGCTCGTTTTTTATGCCAACGGAGATTGGGAAAAAAATTGTCAGTTAACAATTCAATAACTTTTTGAAAAATGGTGATAAAACTTTTTTTTCTACGGGACTCGATTCATTCAAATGTTAAGAAGATACTAGATTTTTTCAAATTTTTGAAATGACATTTTATGTTATAAAAAAATTATTTCTTTTGATAAATTCTCTTTAGCGGCAGCGCGCGCATGCCGTAACAGCCGCGCAGAACCCTATTTTTAACGTCAAATTAAAATTATAAATAATGGAGTTTTCGGAGTCAGAACTTTTTCATCGGAAATTTCCTCCTCTTTAACGAGCTTTTTTCAAAATTGCCTAAATATTAATATTTTTTGAGTTATTAACGAAAAACTGAATACAACTTTTTTGCAATTTTTACCTGCACCAAAATCCTTCAAACATATTTTTCTAGAGGTGATTTCGAATCGAATGACCTGTGGCTCATATTTTTAGGACCTTTATCTCTATTTTTCATGTTTTTGAAATTGTTGATTAGACTATTATGTTGATGAGTCCAAACATGTTCTGCTATTCCGGATTTGCTGGTTTCTCCTCGCTGTGTGTGTTTATTGTGCTTGGCAATGCGAACTTTGAATGGCCTCTCAGTTTCACCAGTGGAACCAATTCTTCTTATCCTTTCCAATAATCCTATGATGTAGGGAAGTGAAAGCACTGGTTGTGACGGCTTCTCTTCCTTGCGAGGCTCCTGCTGTCTTTTAGTCAAAGCCTGTTCTACCATCACTTTGGAGTAAACATTCCATCAAAGATCATTTTTATGATCCCTAGTTCTTTCTCGAGACCTTCCTTACAGATCCCGAAAGGACGGTCTACTACAGTCTTGATGATTCCTCTTTTAGTCGATTTATGGTGGTTGGATTCGTGGTGATTTCATTTCAGGTTTTTTTTGCTTAATATAATTATTCTTTTCAGCTATTCATTTTGATTTTATTGATTCTTTCAGAGATATCAAATCATTTTATATCATATTAGACAATACAAGTCCGAACTAATGAAAGTCCCACTATAGTCCCATCATGACGAATTGCAATTTCTTGACTATATTTCTTTTCCTATATTTTTTAATCCAAAGGAATTGATCTAGTTCAGTTCTACTCTTGCGGATATATCTATATGTAAACAAATTCGAAATAAATAATCCCCAGCTTGAATCATCACCAGATCCTAAAACACCATTGTTTGCCGTTATACCGTACATTCTTGTTTAGAATGTTCTCTTCCGGGCTCTCGCAACCAATTCACTGCTGACAGCTGGCATTTATTCGCAATGAAAAAGGGATAGGGTCAAAAACACTGTTATCTAGCTGACGCGTATAAAAGGCATCCAATCTAGAGTGAAATGAAAAATAGTTACCCCACGGAGATTACATTCCAATTTACAGAAAAGGAAAGTGAAAGGCAGTTTCATTTTCTTCTGAAATGAGGTCAGTATTTCACTGAATGCTGTTGAATGTCAGTAAGGAGGTTGATTCAACCTTAAATATAAAATGATGTTGCATGAAATTTATTTATTATATATCATACGAAGATCATAACGTTCCTCACTTAAAATTATAGAACGTTGATAGGGTTCATTATTTAACTCGTAATATTTTTTTGTTGGAGTCAATGAACACCAAAAACTGCTAAATCTATACTAATATAAATCAGATTAACATATAGGATACAATTTACGAAGGTTTTGTATAATTTTAGTCATATTATAACGATAAGTATCAAGTAAGTCGGTAAAATTCTTGCTCCCTGAGAGCTATTTTGGCGTGCGCTGCCTATACCGTTGGATTTACATTCAGATAATGTATCGTGAGATTGTTCATCTTAAATAGTTCTGAATAAAAGTCCTCGATAGCATATATCTCTTCTACCTCTTGTGTGGTAGCCACTATATGCAAAATACTGAGCCATGAATACAATTACATTGGATACTTTTTTTACAATACACATTTTAGAATACCTGTCAAATTCTCATAAAAATTGATACAATTGTCGTTTCAAGTATCTCATATAGGTGAACTTTGTCTTCTGCACTAATTAATTTAGACGAATCGATTAAAAGTTATCACGATAAGATTAACTTGACGCAATACAGAGGGCCCTTACGCGTCGCGTCTACTGTAAGACTACGGTGGACGATACGCGGAAGTAGAGGGGCAGTCTAAGCAATGAAGCGTCATCGCCGAGAACCAAATTCGGGCAGACGCGTGTGGCAGATGTTGTTGACGGTTATGTTAGTTTTGTGAATTTCTTTATAGGTAACATAAACTAATTCTCGAAGCTATTCATTACTTTCGAAATCCTGACGACTTTACAGGCTCCATCCAGTACCATTCTGTCATGAAGACACTCGAAAGTCCAAGGCCCCTTCTTGACGGGGGAAGTACAACCGTGTAACGAACGATTTGGGATGCAAACTCCTATGGAGGTGCAACATTTTTCAGGTCTCCATGTCGAGTTGATACAGCTCCTCCCGAGTCCACTTCACTAGTCCAAACGAGTAGAAGAAGATTGTAACGGCAAGCATATTCTTTGCAGCAACTTAGTTCTTCCCCGACAGTTCCGAATACCAGATCTGTCGGAGTTTGTGCTGATACTTGTCACGGAGAAAGTTCTTTATTGATGTGACTTTTTGTGAGTGGCGTTGTTCCACCTCTTGGTGGAACAACGAATCATCATTATTATTATTATTCCCGAAATAGGAAACTTTTGTCCAATTCAACTGACCTTCTAGGTCTTACCATTTTCGAGATAGCGAGATCAACTTAAAGACAGCCTGTATAATCAACAGTATTCCAAAGATTTCCAGCAATTATAGAAAATGGTTAGGTAGTAGATATTTTGAACTAATTTTTAGTAAAAAAATGAAATGAGGTAAAGCTCGAGAACATTTTCAAACAGACAATCAGGCTGAACTCAAGTGGTGTCTCTTATACCACTCTGAAATAATATTCATACCAATCTCACAGCTATCCAATAATCGGATCTCTAATTCTATTACTCGTGTTCAGGAAACCGAATGCCTCGGCTTGGAGGCCAACATACGTTGGGCTGAAGCGTTCATCCTCATGTACTCCGTCACGGACAAGTGTTCATTCGACGAATGTCATCGACTGAAATTCCTCATCAATTACAACAAGAGAAGAAGAAGACTGGGCAGTGGCTGCAGGGACAGCTGTGGAGATGTCCCCGTTGTGTTGGTGGGGAATAAAACTGATCAGATCGAAGACAGGATGATAACCACCGAGGAAGGGCAGAAGAGAAGCAAAGAGATCGGCTGTGTTTGTTTCCATGAGATCTCTGTCAGGGAGAGTATCGAGCAGGTTAGTGGATAATTGTTTTTTTTGTATTTCATTCAAAAAAATACTTAACAACTTTATATTAAGACAAGATGTCGAAGGTTACTCAAAAAGGTTTCATTTTGAGGTTTCATGAAAGGGCTTCATCTGATTCAGTTCATACCAATCAATGTTCAAAATTTTCATCATTCACTCCCTAACAAAAATGAAAAATTATGTCAAAGCTATTTTCCGGGTTTGTTGGACGTAGTTATAGGATTTTATACCTTATTTTTTCGTCTTCGACGGTTTTATTTCATTGGTGGTGGGCGTTGCTTAATTTCTATAGGTTGGATTGCATGACCTGATAAAAACCAATTGAGTGTAGGTAGCTAGATTTTATTGCTGTCAATTTCCACCCATATAATCTTGGATAATAATTCCATCTAGCACTTTGGTATCTTCAAAGGCAAATCATGTGGGTACCTTCGATAAGTGCATCATCCGTGATCCGCTACTGCTGATTTGGTATATCCCAAGCGACAATATCAGAGAGCCGAGTTCTTACACTTCTGTTCGTGTTTCCAATGTAGACCAATCCGAAGCCATGAGAGATCCGGTAAACCCCCGAATTTCTAAAGGACCTCTGCTGGAGTCCTTATACTCTCTTGTTGGCCTTAATACTGATTTTATGTTGTGTTTCTTTAGAACTTTTCAGATTCGATCCGTTACATTCTTCAGGGTAGAAAAGCTTCTTCCATTGACAGGCCTATTTAGAATTGGCATTCTTGGCATTCTCCGGAATCGCATTTCTCGCTCGATATCGGACTTGTTATACTCATCTGCTTCAAAAGCATTCTATAAATGAGTTCCTTGGAAAGACTTTCAAATTTACAGATGCGTCGACCCTTACAACTGAAGTTTTAATTACCCACATTTTTGTCGTACCACTTTGTCGTGTATTTTGACTTCATGTACACTTTCTAAGCCAACGTCTCATCATCAGATCTGTCAATTAGTGTTTTTCCAAGGACAGAACAAAAGCACAACAGGAACATCCTTAAGGCGCTCTGAGAGTGGTGCCTGTGCGAAAGTAGCGATTCACTTGGCATTTGAATCGCTGGAGGTTAAATTAATTTGAAAAATGTCATCAGGAAGTTTATGTCACATGAACGCAGTTCTCCAAATGAAAGAGTACTTGAACAGTGAAGTTCAAGGTGTACTGAGTTGAACCTCAAAACGTTGAGCAGCCACAGTTCGTCGTGTATTGCTGATAAGTACCGCTCTTGGTGAAATCAAATGTGCCAAATCATTTGAACACCTCCCGTGAAAGTATAAAAGAGGGACACACCTCCAATCGTTCTTCGATGTTCCAGACTATCAAGGTTGCAAGTGATTCGTGTGTCCATTCAGGCGGATGGCTCATCTGTGGATGGAATCCAGCAACTTCAGAGCATGCTTAGGGGCGGAGCTCCATACGTGAGAACCATACTCCAAAGAAGAGCTGAGCTTTAAAAACCTTTGAAAGTTTCTGAGGTGTGTACAGTTTTCTGGTTCAGAACAGTGTTCCAAATTTTTGAGAAGCAGCCTTTGCATTTCCAGCGCTAATTCAATTCTTTCAATTTAATTCGGTTTATTGTCCCAAGAACCAATGAATGCTTATAATTAGGGACTATAACTAACTACAAAGTATAATGAAATAACAGAAATAACATACTTAACAATGAACACATATTATATCTAGAAAAAAAATACCAATGAAATGCAGTCAAATAATGAAATTGGTTACAGAAAGTATATGCTGAAAACGTGTAATAGAAATAAAATGCAAACTATGAAATTCCGCTAATTAGATTTTTTTTCGATTGATATTTGAATTTTGTAATGGAATAATACTTCTTTATTTTTTCTAGAATTGAATTATATATGATGATCCCATCATGATATATCGATTTTTTTCCAAAATTTGTTTGTATCTTAATTTGTGATAAAAATTTGGTTTGTCTTGTGGCATAATTGTGAATATGTCCAATTGGATTAAAATTTATATAGAAATGAGATAGTGCAAATGTGAATAAATGAGACTGAAATATATATATAATTTCAAAGGTATAAAGTTTCTAATTTTGTAAAAAATTCCAATAAGAGGAGATATTTTCTTCCTAATTTTTTCAATATGTTTATTCCATGACAATTTCTCATCAATGTATAAACCTAAAAATTTTGTTGTTCTTGTATACTTAATAGAATTTTTATCAAACATAATTGAATTATTCAAAGTATCAATTAGTCTTAGGGAAATATTCATATATGAATATTTATTGAAATCAAGCCTTGACTTATGCTCATCAAGCCAAATGAGAATTTCATCCAAATCATTCTTCATATAATTTTTAATTTTTTCGTAACTGTCTGAGAAATATATAATGGTAGTATCATCAGCAAATAGTTTAATTATATCATTCAATTTTAAATTGGCTAGTGAATTAATATAAATAAGGGAAAAAACAGGACCAAGGATGGATCCTTGGGGTACACCACAAGTTATATTTTTAAGAGAGCTTCTTTGATTACCTATATGAACATATTGTCTTCTATCATACAAATAATTCTAAAATCATTCTAGAAGATTTCCTCTGATTCCAATATTGAATAATTTTTTCGACAATATACTATGGTCAACTGAATCAAAAGCTTTACACAAATCGAGGGACAGCATTTCTTATTTTTATCAATTTCCATTTGGATTTGCGACACTACATCCATTACCGCTGTCTCTGTGTCACTAGATCTGCGAAAACCGTATTGACTTTTATATAAAATGTTATTGTTTTCCAGATAGTTCATAAGCCTCATATACTTATATCAGTTTCTCTAATATTTTTGCAAAAACTGGAAACACAGAAATTGGTCGATAATTATTCAAATCGTTTTTTTTTTCACTTTTATATATTGGCGAAACCTTTGCAATTTTCATTTTTTTTAACTATTCCACTTTCGAAGGATTTGGAAATGATATAAAATAAAATTGGCGATATTCCAGTTTTGACGCTTTCACAGTTTTTACAGAAATTTCATCAAATCCACATGCTTTGTTAGGATTGAGTCGATCAATAACATCTTCTATTTCAGATATACAAATAGGTTCAAAAAACATAGATGAAACAATTGAAATGTCATTAGATATTCTTGTTGTATTAGGGTTATTATTTGTTGGTGCATTACCTATTGTAACGAAATGATAATTAAATGCTTCACAGATTTCAAGCGGATCATCAGTATTCATACCGTTCAGTTTTAAACTTTTAATTTTTTCATTCTTATTAGTTGAATTATTCAGTAAAGAATGTATACCTTTCCACATTAATTTTGGGGTTGAATTGCTGAATTGCTTCTGGCAATTTTTATATATTGGTGTCCATTTTAACCCCCAATAAACCTAGTGAAGCAGAACGCGGAATTGACTGCCCTGACATTATTATATCCGGTTTGGAGACACTTATCTTTTTGGAGAAATCCAATGCTTGAGTTTTTGTGGCATTGAATTGAATCTGGTTATTTTCACCCCATTACCAAGTTTGCAATTATTGATCAAAACTTACTTCAATAGGTGCTATGAAAAAAGACGCCCTTTTTATCTAAAAATTGCATATTTTACCGTCATTGGTTTTTAAAATAGAGCACTTTTTTCTAGTAGTGAATCAATAAAGTATGAGTGATGCATTTCATCAGATCGGACTTTCATTCTCTAGTATGATATAAATTGATTTGAGATCTCTGAAAGAATCTGTGAAAAATTAAAAAGATTAACCGAAAAATAACAATTATATCAAGCAAAAAAACTGAAATTACAATGAAATAAAATACAAGCAACAACTAAAAAATCAAAAAATTGAATTATTAACTAGAGATGAAAATTAAAAAAATTATTAACACGAAATGAAATTTTAAAATTAAAAGAATACAAACCAAGGTACTTCACGACGTTCCGATTGTTAGAATCCACAATCGTCTCCGGGTTAATTTTCATTTCGTGTTAATACTTCAATTTTTTGGTTTTTTGGTTGTTGCTTGTAATATATTATAGTAGGGTGTTGCCTAATATAATTGTTATTATTCAGCTAATCTTTTTATTTTTTACAGATTGTTTCAAATCAATTTATATCATATTAGAGAATGGAAGTCCAAACTAATGAAATGCACCAAGAAAAATTGTCAACGACCTTCAAACAAAGGATCAGTGAATGTCACGATTCACTTAATTGGATGTGTGATGACATTTATCTCGGTTTTCGAAAGATTGAAATACGCTTTCTCGCACATTCGCATCATCTGTTCCATACATCTCTCTGTATACTCTCGAATAATTCTCCATGCTGTATTTATTCCGCCTAAATAACTACAAAAACAAGCAGAGCGTGTAACAGGATATCAAAAGTGGGAGTAGAGTGAATTTTCACATCCACAAAGTTGGATAATTCTCATGTTATGACGCAACTTAGTTTTCAATCCGAAACCTTTTTTTCTTTCCAGATTTTTTCTGGATAAAGTCCTCTTGACAAAATTCATTTTGCTATTCGATTACAAGTCCTTTGTTTCTACTTCACTCGTCAGTTCCATTTTATCAACACCTTCGTGAAAATGAATCACTTTGTTGTGGAATTTGCCGCGGTGGTAGTGCGCCCGACTCACGTTCGGAAGGCCGTGGGTTCGATTCCCGCCTCGACCAGTTATTTTTCTCGAGATGATTTATCTGGTTGCAGCTGGGATGATATTGCAACCATGTTAGGAATCACACGTTAAAAGGTAAGACCTCGTTATTCCTCAGCTCGTACAAGTTTCTCAACTTCTGAGAGTTGTCGTTCCTATGGGGGCGACAGCTGATTAACGGAAAAACATATTTTAAAAGGATTTTTAAACAGATTTGGGGCAATTACAAAAACAAAGAAACAATTTCCGACTCCTTCCAGAATATCAGACTCTCCTAAATAAGTATCAACTGGATAAAATGAAAAGAGAAGTTTTGAAAACATGACGAGAGGAAG